TTTCCCAAGACATCGTTTCGCAGAAGAATCAAGTAGTGGAATGATAAACGTATTCAGCTATTAGACGAACTTAGATCATGCACCTTAAATTACTTGAGGGTGAGATATGTTTACATCGAAAAGTTAGCAAACGACATATGTCTTGAAGTATAGAAGACATATTTCTTAAACTACTCGTTACCTTCATTCATCGCAGCTTTAATGTCGACTTCATTTAGAGCAACGTCATAAACTTTCATCTGAGCTATTTTGCCATTGAAGTGTCTGGAGTCGCCAATCTTAACGCCCATTCGAACTTGCCCGTCGTTCGTTGATATTCTGTCAGTTTTGCCGATGTATTTTGTTTTAGACAAATGGCCATTGACGTACAAAGAGTTGACTCCAGTGATGTGATCATAAGCTGCCGCAACATGGGCCCACTGTCCCACTGGAAGTGCCTGATCAGTTAATATGGCATCGAAAAACGCATGATTTGGGTATTTGGTGATCCTGTTAAAGAACTTGCCGTTAACTATCCAAATATGGACACCCCAAGCTCCGGAGTTCTTGTAGTTAAAGAGCGGTCCGTCTCGACCACCGGGCTGAACCCAGCACATCAGGGTTATAGAGTGTAGGGTGTCCAGCCCTCCGTCATTGGGGAACTCTATGAAACTGTTTGGGTTGCCTGAAAACTGGTAGGATCCATTGGTTTCTCCATGGGGTCCAGTTGTGAGCTCCACCTGCCCTAAAACTCCAGCTGGCTGCTTATTGTCAAATTCTCTTGCTTTAAATTCCTCGTTTAGAGGATAGTAAGCGATAAGATGACCTCAAAACACGAAAGCAAAAAAGTAATTAATTGCTGTACTGATATGCGGAACAGTTTTGAGGGAATGTGACAGGACTGAAACAAACTACTTTCCAGGGTTATTTTAGAATCAGTAGAGTTCCTTTAAAACAATCACTCATGGTAAATTTCTTTATATTTTAGCAAAGGGGAAGAGCCCGTATTTTTAGGAGTAAAAGTATCATACTTTTTTGGCAATAGATTAAGAGTTAGTAGTCGTAAGAGCAACAGAATCGAATTTGTTTTTGGCAGTTACTGGAAAACTAGTAGTTCTCTAAAAATAAATTATATTTAAATATGGAAAATGTCGCAGAATGACCCTGACTTCCATAAACCCCAACTTCGCTACAATTTATTGAATATTTGAATCAGGAAGCTAGTGGACGAAACTTTTCATCAAATTAAAAAAGGCATGTTTCTTTTGAAGTGCGTTACCTTCATTCATGGCAGCTTGTATGTCGGCCTCATCTAGAGCAACGTCAAAAACTTTCATTTGAGCTATTTTGCCATTAAAGTATCTGGAGTCGCCAATCTTAACGCCCATTCGAACTTGCCCGTCGTTGGTCGATATCCTGTCAGTTGTGCCGATGTATTTTGTTTTAGACAAATGGCCATTGACGTACAAAGAGTTGACTCCAGTGATATGATCATAAGTTGCCGCAACATGGGCCCACTGTCCCACTGGAAGTGCCTGATCAGTCAATATAGCATCGAAAAACGCATGATTTGGGTATTTGGTGATCCTGTTAAAGAACTTGCCGTTAACTATCCAAATATGGACTCCCCAAGCTCCGGAGTTCTTGTAGTTAAAGAGCGGCCCGTCTCGACCACCGGGCTGAACCCAGCACATCAGGGTTATAGAGTGTAGGGTGTCCAGTCCTCCGTCATTGGGGAACTCTATGAAACTGTTTGGGTTGCCTGAAAACTGGTAGGATCCATTGGTTTCTCCATGGGGTCCAGTTGTGAGCTCCACTTGCCCTAAAACTCCAGCCGGTTGCTTATCGTCAATTTCTCTTGCTTTAAATTCCTCGTTTAGAGGATAGTAAGCGATAAGATCACCTAAGTACACCAACAGGAAGCACGAGTTAATAATAATACTAGTTCTGTGAAATGGTTTTGGGTGAGAATCGAGTTCTTTATGGACAGGA